TAATCTTATTCAGTAATGACTGCTATTCTAGTTCAGTTTTAGAGAATCAATCATCGATAAATCAACCGCTGGTCCAAGAAAATGGCTTGATTCAATTTTCATCTGCAAAAGAGAGCGATAATGTAATAAAACCATGTATTCACAATCTTGTCACGAAACAAGAGCCCGACACCTTTCTTGGTATAAATTAAATTTCAAAAGACTTTTTAGAAAATTGAAGACGATTGTAGGGCGTTTCTTTTTACCTTTCTTTATCTGTGGATTCAGATGAGACACTATCGCAAGTAAAATTACTATCTTTACAAACAAGACGAAGAGTACACGCTGAACTAACAAATCAAGTAACAAAATTAGTATTTCATTTCATATGTGTAATATTTAGTGAAATCTTGTTTTTTTAAGTGTGGAACCGCTAATGGCTGCGGATATGATGCTTATAACAAGGATTCTTTAGAAGAAAAATTCATCTGTCCGCAATGCAAACTTATTCTCCGAGATCCCATCCAATTAATCGTATGTGGGCACAGGTTATGTGAATCGTGTATTCTAACACAAACAGAGTAAGTTCAGACGATTGGTTTGACGAAAAAGTATAGTCACGTGGTAGTGTGAAGCGTGGAGTGATGTATGCTTCGCCTTCTAAATCGCATACGCTTGTCTGAATTATCTTTTCCGAATACCTAGACAAAAAAAGAAGTCTCAATGGACTTTTGCAGGTTCACAGGAACTGAAAGAAGGAATATCAACTCATCGATTATCTGAACTATTTATTGCTAAATGTTGTGCATAGAATGGTGTATTGTACAGTGTCTTTGATAAAAATTTCTTCTAGGGCTGACTGTTCAGTGTTCCCTCTCCAAAATCTACACTTCTTTTGCTTTTTGTCTCACAACTCCTTTATACAGGTTACAAAATTTGATAACTACACTGTGAAAAAAATGTGTCCTGGTATGTGCCCTAAGTAGAATATGTCTTATTCGAAGACGCTTAAAAATGCACATAGAACATAACGGTAAATATTTTGTACGATGACACTTTTGAGTAAGTCCGTATATTTTATGAGCCTTTATTTAAGATACGTGAAGCAAATACTTATTCGATGTGTCTCAATGTGGTGCATGATTTTCATTCACCTATTTGTTTTGCTAACGCAAAGCTATATGAGTACTCTCTAAAACTAGTCGTACTTTAGAAAACGAAAAAAAATTCTATTTAATAGAAACCTTTTTCCGTTTTCTGAAGTATGAATACCTTCTAGAAAGTACTCATATAGCTTTGCGTTAGCAAAACAAATAGGTGAATGAAAATCATGCACCACATTGAGATACGTCGAATAAGTATTTGATTCACGTATCTCAAATAAAGGCTCATGAATTATATGGACTTATTAAAAAGTGTACTACGGAAATATTTGAAATGTATTCTTTGAAATACCGCCACATAAATGTGTTCAAAAAGATACGTGGAATTGGCACAGTTTTTGGGCACATTCTGATACACATAATGCCTCTTAAAGAAAGTCTTCGAATGTGCCAAGAAAATATGTCCATTCCATATATTATTTTTTTGTGCTCTTATTTAGGACACATTATTTTTTGCAGTGTAGTGTAGCCGTTGTGAATTTTCATTTTATTATAAATTTTTGACCTTATATGGTTCATAATCACACATAATACTAACAACAAGAACGAAAACGTGTAGAAGAATATCTTTCCTTTGACATGTGAATAAGCGAACGCAAAACCTTTTTATATTTTTAAAACATGACGTCATATTTTAAAATATTTTTTACACGAAGTTGGTATTAAATATCAGAAGAGATATGTCCACGATATTTTAGTATTGATAGATGCTTGATGAAAAGTCGAGAACAATGTCGGTGTGTTATCGTGATTACATAACTCTTTTCAGTTTACATCGTGTAAAAAATAATTTATGTTACTAGGTGTGTAAATCTTTTAAACGTTCACTTGGCGTCGAAGAGTGTGTACCTTCTCTAGATGGTCAATCTTAGTGTGTAAAGAGCTGGGAGAGTTAAAAAGATTACTTATTTTCCATTTTTCTCGCGAACTACAACATCCAATGAAAAAATAATTCCAGAATCATAATCACTCTCTTCAATAGTATATATGCTGTCATTTCCGGCAAAAACGGACAAGGAAAAAAAGTTGAAAAAACCCATCGTCCTATGGTAGATTTGAACAATCGATTGATGAGTCTGAGGCATTTCTAGAAAAGATAGTTTGGACAAGTAGACTGTATCATTGATCTCAGTGTGTAGAGTCAGACGGCCACTTCTCAGTGTCTACTTTATACACTTATGCCATGTGTTTTAGACGGTCACTGGAATCGACTTAGCGTTCACTCTATGTGTGTCAGTTATACACTTTATTTTGTATAGTGCATGAAATAGAAAACCCGAACAAAAGTTATCGTTTCTTGATATATTCATTACAAGATTCGACAATGGATTTCATACGGAAGTGTATTGAAAATCTGTATACAGTGGGTTAAGGCTCTCCCCGCGTCAGAAACCTATCTCAGCCCAGGTAGGTCTGATCTCAATTAAACTTTCAGGGAATGTTGACCATGTCAAAGTGTGGTAACGAAATTCTTTTTTTGGCGTCACTTACAACTGTTCGTGAGAGGAAACCGCAACAAGGGCTAAAAATAGGCGTCTACCACGCACAGAAAGTCTCATTCCAGGTAAATGATGGAGAGCTTGGACTGTTTTTGTTTTGCAGCAAACACCTCTACCTAGGAGTTGACAGAGCCGAATTTTTGAATTTATGATTTACTGACTTCTGGTGCTTAATAGAACTTTAAGTTCGAAAAATCCTTGGAAGGTTTCTCAGAAATCCTCATTTCTTTAAAAAACAGAAGCATAATTTAAAATCAAACTCTGTCAATTCCTAGCTATAGGTGTTACCTACAAATAAAAAAAAGAAAAATTTCCTCCAATGTATCGTTACCGAGAATTCCTGTGCGTGGCGAAAGCGCTGAAGCTCAAAAGTACGCTTAAGAAAAACGCAAAATAAGTTTTGATTCTGTTAAATGCATTTTACTTAAAAAGTGTCTGACGTGAGCGTTATATAATTTGTTGATTTTTTTGCTACAGGTTATCGGTCATGGCGGATCTTATGAACATGTGCGCGGCCATATCCGGCACATACGTACGCTTATGCAATACAAGTGCAAAAAAGATATTTTTTGTTCTATAGGGCTTCTGAAAAACTCGCTCAAAACCTATTCTATCGACACAAAAATTATACTATTAGAAAGTAGACACTTTGGGCTATCCAACCATGTGCTTTTCTCAAAACCAATAGTTTTGACGAAAATCGACATTTCTGACGCGGGGGGAGGGGAGGCCTTAATGTGTACCAAAAACATATAAAGTAAATAACATATCGACGATGTTATACAGAGACGTCAGAGTCTGCTTGATGTTCGAACTATTTCATAAAGAATTGAGTTTCTAAGATGAGTGGCAGTAAAGAACGGATATCGGCGCAGTTTTGTTATATCAATAATACGTAAACAAATGGATTTATACCACGCTTGAGTAAAAAGTCAGCTCAAAACTCGCTTGATCAATTACATGAAAATATTGTTTTACGCATAGCGTATTTCAGATTACCAAGTTAAACGTATGGTCAACGTATTGATGCAGCAGTCAATCAAGTGTATTTCCATGAAAAAGTGATAATAGTATTTGATTCAACGTCAAAAATTAGTAATGGATTTAGTAAAAAGGATAAAATACCCAATAATTTGAAATCTGATCTTGTCTATGACGTCACCTGCCCTACTTAGGACGACAAATATATTGATAGAAATGTTGTCTCCTTATTATCAGAGTCAATGAACAAGTTACCAATCTAAATACTCTTTTAGATCACCATTGGTGTCTAAACCGAAAACAGCGTCACGTATAACAAAATAATATAAGGTACAATCCAAAGCTATTCACCAAAAAGACAGAAGAGGACCAGTAACATGTTCAAAAACGGGAACATTACCATGACATTGCAGCTCGATCAAGATGATATTGATGAAATGTTGAAAGCATAAGTTTATGCTAGAAGCAAAATAATAACACATCGAGTAGCTAAATCAGTGTTGAGTAGACATTATTCGTCTTTAGTCACACAGTCCCTGAATGATTTTAGATAACGGAACAACATAAATATCATATATTTGTGGAAGAGTTATTACTCATACGTATAACGACCCCAAAGTTAAACGATACCCGTCAATCAGTTCTGCTATATGTATTTCTGAGAGGAATAGGCAAATGTTCAATAAACATTTCTCACCACCATCAAGCTAAGTTATTGTGTCAATCACACCATTGAATACGTTGTTAAGGTTTTTTAAAGTTATAAAAAGGTTTTGTGTTCTCTTATTCACATGTCAAAGGAAAGATATTCTTCTGCACGTTTTCGTTCTCGTTATTAGTATCCTGTGTGATCATGACCGTATAAGGTCAATAATTTACAATAAAATGAAATTCACAACGGTTGCATAGGCCGTTTTGTTACAAACTGTTGTCGCTAGACTCATCTAATATTGATGCAGGTAGGTTGCCCGTGAGATAAACATGAATATATCAACTAGATTTTCCATCAAGTACTTTTTTCACACTTTATAATGTATACTCTTTCTGTCACTCTCATATTACTCTTTACTCAATCACTTTTTATTTTGTTTTCTAATTCTTAGTAGTAACATTGGAAAGCTCTCGAATCAAAAACTTGTGCCGTATGATGTAATCGACTGGGCTGTTTCCATTTCTGTTGAAAACGCCTATTAAATTTTTATATGTGTATTATCTAATTTTAGGATTACCTGCCCTTTTTGTTTTGAAAAGACATCAAGCGAACAAGTAAACGAGCATATTCAGATAGATCTCATAGTTTAGAGTAAATTATGCCACTTTCTAGCTGATGCACGATCGAGGTTTTGCAAAAGAAATGTTTACAGTAACAATTATCTGTATGAAAAAACCCGATGGGTGCGACTGGACCGGTCCGCTGAAAAAGTATCAGGTATGTAATTAAAAAGACAGTAAATTATACGGCATATATATTTTATTATTTTAAGGTTCACATTGATTCGTGTCATGAAACGATTAACAAATGTAATTATTGTGAGGAAATATTTTCTACAAGGTACACACTAGTTGAACATGAGAAAAATGTTTGTACACAAATAACTGAGTCATGTCCACTCGCGAAAGATGGATGTTTACAAGAAAAAGTGAGTTTTGGAGTTAACAAATCCTATATTACATGCTGATAACGGCTTGTCTGGCTCACGGTCCCCTTTTTTCGCGCATTTTGAAAAAGTTATTGCAATAATGCTACAAACTAATCTAGATAACTAAGTAGATTAAACATTTCTCTACGAAATGAAAAGTGTCTCGGTTCTGAACGTTGATTTGTTATGAAAATACAGCTGCTGTAGAAACAGCCAAAAAATCGATCTGAGGGTTATCTGAAAAACGTATGTAAAAGAGTGAAGATGGGCAGACGAAAATTGAACAAGTATACCAGTTTGTAGAAAATTGTTTGCTCTACAAGACGTGATAGCTTTTCAAGTTCAAAACTAGTCTAACCAATCTGTATTAATTACACAAAAACCAGAAAAACCGTGAGGCTGTGACAAAAAACGGTCAAAAGTGTCACAACGTCACGGTTTTTCGTTGACTCATACAGATTGATGAGACTAGTTTCGAACTTGAAAAGCTATCACATCTTGTAGAGCAAACAATTTTCTACAAACTGGTATACTTGTTCAATTTTCATCGGTCCATCTTCGTTCTTTTACACACGTTTTTCAGACAGCCCCCAGATCGATTTTTTGGACTATTTCTACAGCAGCTGTATTTTTCTAACGAATCAACGTTTAGAACCGAGACACTTCATTTCGCAGAGAAATGATTTTAATCTACTTAATTATCTAGTTGCAGTTTTAGATTAGTTTGTCGCTTTATTGCACCAACTTTTCGAAAACGCGCAAAAAAAAGGAGATCGTTAGCTGGACAAGCCGATAAGTAATCGTATGATCCATCTGTTTTAGATCCTTAAATCGGAAATGGCTGCTCATTACCTAAGTGAGTTTCATCAAAAATGTCTACACGGCTGTATAACAAACCTGATGCAGATGATTGATTTATGTCGAAATGATATTGACAGAACAAAACTTTACTCTCAATCATCGAATTTATCAGCAGTTATTTCAGATTCTTCTGCGTCAATTGCAGCAGTCAATGATTGCTTTTCTCGATTACAACAATATTACGAGAAGTTGACAGTAATTACCGACAGTATACAAGCATTAAGTGACGACTCTATTCGACTAAGCACAGAATCATTACTTCATCAAAATCAATTAAAAGCATTTCAAAATGAGATACAAGAAGTAAAGCAATCGGTAAATGAGATCAGCTCGTATATTGCTGGTATTACCTCTAATCAAGAAATTTTTCAACAAGAATTATTGACTACTAAACAAAAAGTTCAAGATTTACAATCTGTATCATACCATGGTACGCTCATGTGGAAAATAGATAATATAACTGAAAAAATAGCCGATGCTCAATCTGAACGACAAACATCAATCTACTCACCACCTTTTTATTCATCACCAACCGGCTACAAAATGTGCGTCCGTCTCTATGTACAAGGTGATGGAACTGCTCGTCAAACACATATGTCCTTGTTTTTTCTTCTAATGCGTGGAAAATACGATGCAATTCTCAAATGGCCATTTAATTTTAAAGTTACATTTTGTCTGTTTGATCAATCTGGTCAACATCATCATATCATCGATTCATTTCGTCCCGATATAAAATCCAACAGTTTTCAGCGTCCACGTAGCGAAATGAACGTTGCTAGTGGTTTACCAAGATTTTTTCCGTTACCAATGATTTTACAAGATGATAACGTATATGTTAGAGATGATATCATGTATATCAGATGTTCTGTTGACTTTAGTGATACTTCAAAAATATTGCTACCTTATGTATTGAGTTTAAATCCTGCTCTACCCCATTATGTTCAACAGAATATGATACAAACCGAAACTGAACGACGTTTACAACAGCATCAACAAGAGCCAACGACAAGAAATACGAATAATGATTCTGATTTTGTGAATTAGAATTAAAATTAGAAGTTTTTAAAACGGTTAATACATTCTTCTTTCTTTACATCAATAAACGAGATTAAAACAAATTTCAGAATTTCGTTGACACCTTTTATAGGTTGTTGACTAACGGTTACGAGCGCTATTGGATTCGAAAATGTTAGCGATTATAACTCAGCTCAGGGATATCAAAGAGAGACGGTTGACGTCTCATTTTCTTCAGAATCTGGTGCTCCTTCAGGCTGTCTAGTCAAAACTGACCTTCGAATTTTTGTGGATTTTCTAGAGGGTTTCTGAAAAATCAGAATTTGATCTGTTGCACAACTTTTTCTCAGACTTTTCTCGCTTCATGCGAAAGAGCATCAAAAAATAGATCTGCAGGTGAAATCTCTATTCGTTTCAAGTTTTTCTTTAGGCATAGCAGAGAAATTATCTGTAGATGGTAGGGGAGTTTGCTGGATTTTTGAACTGAATTTGACTTTTCAGCACTTTAATGAAGTCATATAGAGTTTTGGACGTGATTTCCTGATATTCCGTCTTTCTGCATATACCTAGCAGCTCTTTACAGTTCTAAAGTAGAATTTCTACCTTCAGCAGGCCGACTACTGCAGAAGATTCTAAATAACGTTCGACAAGAAACAAATTTTTTTCTCGGTTTCAGAAGTTTTCATGCAAAATAAAGGCCAAATTCATAATCAGCGTGAAATTCGAACCATGTATCTTTCATCGAAACGTGAGATGAAAAAATTTTCAATGATCCAAAGGTGAGATAGGGCCAACCCATTTTTGAAAAAAATGGAAGTCAAAAATTTGAAAAATGAAATGAGCCATTTTGTTCAGAATTCGATGCTGATCATTGTCATATAGTTTTTTCTTCGAAATTATTTAAGGCCACTCTAATCAGAAACCTTCCCACATCCTTTGTGATAATCACTGGCAATAAATTCACATTTAGTGTCGCTGAATGCACAGACATTAGCAAAAACGATCCGAGGTAGATCATGAATTATTGACGATATGAAATTGACACAATCATGAAGATCAAAGAAAAATGTTGATCCTCTGTCAATTCTGCCATTATCCAGTAAGGGATTAATATAACATTTTTCCATTAGACTCACAAGAACCGTTTCATCATCTCCCTCTGTTAAATCATTTATCACATCTAAGAACGGCTCCATTCTCAAGAAATCAACTTTTCGATCAAAATATACCTATTTGACTTCGTTTTCTACGTGTTTTTCCGTTAGAAAAAGGAAAAAAGATAATACGTATGAAGTGTTTTTCGAACTTATTTATAGAAAATAAGAATTCGGTTCCTTCTAATAAAATCATGTATAAACGTTAATAATAACTTGAAAAAACGAGAGAGAAAGAAACATAGCCTTTCTGGTTATAAAATAAAATAAAGAACGTGATCGTTCCCTTACAAGAAACGGTTCATATTCTTGCTTCAGGTTACAACTGTTCTCACTTTTCCATACTAATCGACCAAACTACTTCCAAATTTCAGCATTTACTCCAATTTATCTGTTTTATAGTGATTTCAACAAAAGTTTTAAAAATTAATAGAATTATTTTGGTTTTTAAAAGATTGTTTCAGAAATCTTTAAAAGTAACGGAATAAAATCTTAATTGTAGCACCGTATTCAACAGACAAGACAGAGTATATATGTAAATTTAGAAGTAGTTTAGTCAGTTTTAACTTATTTATGAGTTCTTTATTTTTCGATGAAAATAGCCACAAATGGAGTAGATGGAGGTTTCGAAGTGGTGTAGTTGTGTAGAACTCGATTTACGGGATAAAATAGAAGATCAGGTGGCCTTACTTGTTTTCCGATAAAAAATGTACTTGTTGAAAATAGATGAGCGAACCGTAACCAAAGAAAATTCCTTGATTTATTTTCAAGTGGCAAGATCCGTAAAATCCGAAAATATTATTTCCTTTGACCCTTATTTTCGAAAACTCAAATATCTTTCTAGGACTCAGTGAATTAAAAAAGAGAAATAAACCATACTCGTCAAAAAAAATAAATCTAAAAGATTATCGGACTCGAAATGGACTCAGAAGTCAGACTCGGCTAGACATTTTAATGACTAGGACTCGACTCGGACATGCCCGGCTTGACCACTGATGTAATTGAGTGATATTATAACTCATTTAAAAAATTGGTTCGATCGAACCCAACCTTTATCATGCGTACTCGAAACTCTATCTCGTATTCTAGATCTTTCTGAAACATCTCGGATTTCAGCTTTCGCCGTGAAAAGATTTTTAAAATCGAAAACTAACCTTTTACGTAGAGATTTTTGACACTTTTCGAATATTTCGAGAAAGCAAACATATTTTTGAAAAACAAATTTAGAATTTTAAGATAGCGTCTGCAGTAAGTGTGATAAAATATTGAATTCGATCAGATATTTGATCCTCTTAAAAAAATAGTATATTTTATAATTTAAAATAGAATGATCAATGCCTCAACAAGATCCTTTTTCTACTTCTAAAAACAATTTGAATAACTGAACTTCTTAAATTAGATGCCAGATCACACAGAAAAAAATTTTCAAACATGAATCAACTGTATAATCGGATCGATGCGGCTTGAACCGTCGGTGTTGTGATCACTCACTGAAGATTTCTCGAACCTTTGCGGTCTTACAGAAAACAGTTTTGAAAAGTTCTTGCGAGAAGTATCGATTTTCTATATTATAGGGAATTATTTATAGAAAATCCTCAGCGAATTTTCATCTAAAAAATCTTCAGGGATTTTATATATGGACTTTTCGAAAATCAAAAAGTAGGATTATTTTCTACTTTCTAGAAAATTCATGAGGATTTTCTACATGATGAGGAAGAACAATTTGAGTCAGAATGCTGATAATCAGAGACTTGCAAAGTGAAAATGGCTAAAGATAAACTTTTTCACCGTTATTAAAAGCTATTAAACTTCGAAGTTGAGAGGGATGTATTATTTCAGCTTATTAAATGACAATATGGAAGTTCTAATAATGAAAACGAAATTCGATATCGATCACGTGTTGAACGACTGTTATTCTATTTAAAAAATAAAGAAAATATATGTGAATTGTTAGGATCATGTCTTTGAGTTAATAGAATCAAGTACAGTCCTCCTCCTAAGGTAGTACATTTTTCGGACTCCTAATTATGTACATTTTTGGAAGATGCTAAATTTAGACATAAAAATTAGGAATATTGGCAAGAGCTAATCGCTTTTCAATCTTCAGAAAGCTGCGGTGGAACTGGATTTTATCTTAATCAGGCCGAACCCAAGAACCCTTTCAACACCCCTTTGTGATCTCTAAGTGTCATACAACTATAATACTTCTCGAAGAATATGCTGATTTGTAAAAACTTAGAGAACTTTCCCGATCTACTAACATTTTCGATGTTAAATACTAAAACGAGCAGAGATCTGTTACAGGATAACTTATTACAATGAAGACATTGATAGATGTGAAAGAAGCAAGAAAAAAATGACCGATTCGTCTTCTTAGAAAATCGAATTCGATTTTCCAACTATTTCAGAATAACATTGTAAAATACGGTTAAGGATTAAGGGGTACGAAAGTGGATATCTGCATTTGTTACTCAGAGATCCTGAAATGGGTATCCCAGCACGGAAATACCCTTTCTGAATTCTTTCTTTTTTAGGAAGTAGACAACAGAGACCGAAACGGGTCAATCAAACGTGACCCGAACCCGACTCGATCCCAACATGAGTTGATTCAAACCTAATCCGACGCGAATCACTATCTTATACGTTGACCCGAACCGAACGGACACGAAAATTTTTCCACTGTGATCTGAAGTACTCAGGCAAACATCACCTATGGGAAAAATCTAGATACATTTCGTCTGTAATCGGGCGATGCACGACTAGTTGTCATCTAGATTACTAGTTGGAAAAGGGACTTTTAACTAGATGAGTCTGCATGTGCAAATAGCAATAGTTAAATCGATCGATTATCGAGCGATAGGTTGATAGTTGCAACTAGATGAAATGTAGCAATCGCCCGATTACCAGATTTTCACTGTCGTCCCTCAACAGTTACAATCGAGTAAAAATCTAGTGATCAGGATGAATCGTGCGATACTAGATTTTTTAGTTAGGATCGCTATACATTAGTTCAGGTATAGCCGAAACATGAAAATGTTTTCGTACACATTCGTAAAGAAACACTTCTTTCCTGCAGAAAAGTTATCTTGAAATTTTTTCAAAGGAATGGTCAGATTCCTTACGATTTCTGTAATTTTTTCCTTTTATGAGTGAAAAAGTTTGGATAATTCAGGCAGTTTTTCTTATATTGAATTGAGTTTGAACCGAAACGGGTCAACCAAACGTGATCCAAACCCGAACGTGAGTTGACTCGATCCGAATCAATATCTTTTACCTTGACTCGAACCCGACCTGACCGGACTTGACCTGAATCGATCCGCGGACCAACCCAACCCATTTCGGTCTCTGGTAGACAAGCCCGAACTATTCATAGAAAACAATCACAAGACTAGAGGACTATTTTTTTGCTGAAAATTACCTTAAAACTGATTGGCTCCGTGGGACGAGAATCGCTTATATCTTACTTGAAATAGCAGTCCACCTACTATTTTACAAAAATGTCTGTTTTGAATCGTTACTTTAAAAACAAGATTTTCGATTTTCATTTTTTCTGCGATTTAGTTCTTTATTTGTTCAAGTTAACTCATTTCTTATATAGTAACCCGTCGTGCAGATATCAAACCCGCGTCGTAAAAATGTAACCTTGTTGTTAGTATCTCACTGGAATATTCTGAAAGACAGAAAAACTTGCAGTGTAATCTATCAAAAATGTTTTTTAATATGATCTTAATTATAGATTTAATGTCATACGAATAATGATGTTTGTTCACTTCTTTGCTTCTAGCCTAACGAAAAAAGTAAAACTTTTAAATAAGAATTTAAGTGTCCTTTCTTCTTAGCATGCATGTATGCAAACAAAGACATTATCTCTTTTGT